TTAAAGGTAAAGACCAGTTATGGTCATGCGATTGCATTGTGAAAGAAACGTTGTGGAATCGATCATAAAAGGTTGATCATCTAGCATCTAGCATCTGCAAGGTTCTGGAATCATCAAAATGATAAGAAATTTGGCCCATTCTTCGTAAAGTTACAAGCACTATACACAGAAAGATGTATATGGGACTACCCTATATCTCTCACAGACCATGAGAGAAACAAATTTACCAAATATATGAATTAGTAGGCGGTTTCCTGGCAAATTTGTTATCATCATGTATTAGTCAAAACATATTCTTTCACATGATTGGTAATGAGAGCTTCCATTTCATTTTTTGAAATTGGGGCGTTTCCAATACTGGTCTTTGCCTTTAATGTCTGAGACGATAATAGAAATGAGCTTTTGTGAATTTTTTTTTTTTTTCTCTCCAGATTCTAACTATAAAGATATCATTTGTGTGGCAAGTGAGTTATGTAGTTAGTTTCCATGGGTTCTGGAATAAAACTGAAACAGATTGATTGCAGTGGCATGCAATAACCTATACACAAAATACACATGCACGCACGCGATGCGCCCACACACGCACAGACCGCTGCACATGCATTGCTGTACGGAGTGCAGCAATTCACCAAGGCCATTTATTTTATTGTTTTGTTATGGTTACAACAATTGCCACAACACGACGTGAATGTCTTGCATGGCCGGTCAAACATAATACAACAATTGATATACAAAAAATGAATACCTATTCTATTGCCGCCCGTGAGATTTTCGATAGGTCTAGTTATCTTTTGTGAAAAGTTTGAATTGGGTCACTGGGTAGGTCTGTGCTCGTGTATTATACCTTGCCGAGAACTAAACATATGTGTACTTAGCGTAAGAGAGGCTTTGACCCTTCATCTGCCACACACATTATCTTCCGGTGTCACAACTTTATTTATCATGACATTGACATCCAAAAGGCTTCAAAATCAGTGTAATGTTTCAATGCAACTTTATCCGTACTGGTGTCTAAACGAGACCGTATCGGGTGATTTTGCAAATGACTGCAGGGCCCTCAGGGAGGTCAGTATTAATACTGATGAGGCTACCCAAGGTTAACAAGACATAGTATTATTAGTAAACGTATTATTATAATTATTATTATCATTATTATTATTATTATCATTAACAGTTGTATTGCACAAAGTGACCCTTATTGTTTGTGCACAACGTGTGGCAAGCGAGCGTCCAAACTCAGAAGGAAGGTGGCTCACTATTACACTACACACAGAAAATGGAAATGGACACAATACATGATTATCATGAAAACTTGGGCGACACTTTTCAGTTGCTTCCCGTCATATTTCAAATAAGAAGGCATCTAAAACACGTCAAAGCAATCCTTTTCAGGGATTTTCTTTTCGAAACGGAAACAAATGGAAATTTCACAAACTATTGTACGCATTTCTCAAAACTGAACCTCCTTCTTTATGTTTTAATATGTCAGCCTATACCTGAAACAAATATTTAAAAATGCTTAATTCCGTTCTTAACACGTCCGACCACAAATAAACCACTGACGCATATGTAGGGATGACAAACAACACGAAAAGGACGAGTAGAAGTCCTTTGAAGCCTATGCTTTTATTACTTCCAAGAATAAAGGGCCCCTTAGATGAACTTGATTATCTTCACACTCCGGAATTCATTACAATGGAAATATAATATGAGTACCACATTGCTTCCTAATATAGCGCTAATGTACTCCCTCCCCTCAAATCCGCAAACCTTTCAAAGAGCCACGGGGTGTCCATACATATCTTACACGATCACGACAAAACCAATTGTGTTCCTTTTGTAATGTTTAAAGAAATGAGGCTTAGAATGTGTCTTTGTCATGCTCTCTTATTTAAATGGGTGAAGATGAGACTATTTTATATTCATCATGATGATTTTGGTTCTTTGCAATCGGGTAATGTATGTGTTCCTGGCTCCACGTTTAACCGTAACGAACGTGCGATTGAGAGATAGCTCCGTCATCGAGGTACAAAGTACTTCTTTACTCTTTTTTCTTCTTTTTAAAGTATTTTTATAATTAAATTATCCCAATGAATGTTTCTTCGAAATGTGAAATACTACAACTTACATCTCAATTACTTAACAAAGGCCCTAACTCACCCGACAACCTTCAATTCCTGAGCTACGAAAACACATCAAACATCAAATTGACAAAGAGTACACATGAAAGAGTACACATGATATAGTTGTTAACTTTAGATGCCCTACATTTCCATAGAAAATCATTGTGTCCTAAAGAATTGACATATGAAAGGATGTCTGTACTTCAATTACAGCATGTGGAGTAGCCGTGCTTAGAAACACAGCAGTGTATCGGCAAGATACGGTCAACTCACACGTGTGGACACGGCCTTTTGAGCAACGGCTCCACAGCGGTTTTTATCCTTAGCCCCGGACTGCAATCACGTCACCTCTGTGGGACGCCCCGACGTAATGCCTTGCCCAGATTGCTGGCCCCCGGTATAGGTTTCCCCCTTGATCGATCCGAAATTGCAGTAGGGATTAGGCAGTCGATAAAGCTCGTTATTTATTATGATGGCACGGTGTACAAAGAGTGACTGGTCCCATCACGTCACGAGGATTAATAAGGTTATATCTTATTGATTCACCATGAAATGCCTGTCCGCTGTCTCGTGATAACATCGTCACAAGCCGGTAATGATCATCAAAAGCAAATATGAATTGAGGAGTACAACGAAGTCGTTTCAAAACAGAACCGAATACGGAGCCTGCCAATACACTCGATGAAGATAAAGGTCATGATGACTATAGTTTATTTTTAAATACATGTTATTGCATAATATCCACTACGACGTGACAACATCGTCACAAGCCGGTAATGATCATCAAAAGCAAATATGAATTGAAGAGTACAACGAAGTCGTTTCAAAACAGAACCGAATACGGAGACTGCCAATATACTCGATAAAAATAAAGGTCATGATGACTATAGTTTATTTTTAAATACATGTTATTGCATAATATCCACTACGACGTGACAACATCGTCACAAGCCGATAATGATCATCAAAAGCAAATATGAATTAAAGAGTACAACAAAGTTGTTTAAAAACAGAACCCTTACGGAGCCTGCCGATATATTCGATGAAAATAAAGGTCATGATGACTACAGTTTATTTTTAAATACATGTTATTGCATAATATCCACTACGACGTGACAACATCGTCACAAGCCGGTAATGATCATCAAAAGCAAATATGAATTGAAGAGTACAACGAAGTCGTTTCAAAACAGAACCGTTACGGAGCCTGCCGATATATTCGATGAAAATAAAGGTCATGATGACTACAGTTTATTTTTAAATACATGTTATTGCATAATATACACTACGACGTGACAACATCGTCACAAGCCGGTAATGATCATCAAAAGCAAATATGAATTGAAGAGTACAACGAAGTCGTTTCAAAACAGAACCGTTACGGAGCCTGCCGATATATTCGATGAAAATAAAGGTCATGATGACTACAGTTTATATTTAAGTACATGTTATTGCATAACATCATCTTTGACGTAATGAAATATTTACAAGCTGTTGTTGATTATAAAAAACAATTATGAGGCGAGTCGTACAACGAAGATCGTTCAGAATAGACTCGTTAAAAAAAAAACTTTGCCCATTGACTTGGCGAACAAGGTCATGATACAAATCGATTGGTTATAAATAAATATATGATATTGCATAATGTCCAGTATGACATACTAACATCGTGAAAATAACGGCCATGATGGCAAATGTCAACATGTCACTTCGTATTGTTAACTACAACCGGTAATAACAAAGTCTCAATCATTTAATGATCACAGTGAAAAAACTTTGAGATGAGTGGAAAAACTAACTATAAAAAACTAGACCCGTTACAGAAAAGAAAGGTAACCAGCGGTTTGGATAAAATAAAAGTCATGAAAGAAATTAATTATACACGAATGGATTAAATAATGTAATATTTAAAACCTCCCAGACTGTAATATATAAAACCTCCCAAGAGTGTCGCCTAATAGTTGGTCTCTATACGAGTTTCCTCAATACGAATTTTTCAACGGGACGCATTGTTTCAACAGAAAAGCTGTCTTTGTGGACAGGTGGTCGTTCTACACACATGGTTATTGAAGCAGGATGAACTGAACAACTATGTAAGGTCGAACCAACAATATCACTTTGAACAAATAACTCCTAGAGTCCATTATTAATTGCTATGACAAAACAATGACAGCACTTGAACAGAAGCCCAAGCCTCCAAACTGACATGACAATGATGTGCGGATGAACTTGAAAATCTGCCCGTAGGACACAACGCCAGTAGAGTAACATGCGTTTGAAGATCCCATCAAAGGTTTTCTTTAATGACCGCCATTGTGCAGGTGGTTTTTCTAGATTCATTCGAAAACAGATATTCCTCCCTCAAGAAATAAATGACCACTCTTCTTTCCGATCAGTGATCAAAAGGGATTATTTTTGAATGTATACAGATAGTTATTGTCCTATTGATAATAAAATAACCAGGCCCTATCAGTGCAGATTGGCCACTGTGGTTAGTTGTCGTGCTTGTTATTGTCGAAGAAACAATAATCACACCACCAAATAACTATAGCACGAAATCAAATGAATAAGTTAATGCATAATATATCGATACAAATGTTTCTGTTTTTTGGAGGAACCTGATTTGTTACATTGCGACCGAGGACACACACCATCAAACTATATCACGTAGAAAAACCACTAGCTATTTATCAAGACATATGTCTTCTATTCGTTGTCGTTTATATTCATCTATAGTTTTAACGACAACCTCCCAATAGCCGAACACATTCATTAGCAGATGAAGTCAGAAACCCCGTGGCTCAATCAAAGGTACCCGATGACATTTGCTTTTAAAGATATTGAAATAATAGTCTGATTGACAACAATGGCACCTACCTTTGTGTACGATGTTGGAGGAGACCTCATGCACAGCTTTAGCTACGATGCTCAAATCTTCTGATCTATGTATTGGTGCCGTTTGCAGGTAGGCCAATGGATTCCAGCGTTTGAATTGCCAACCACCTGTAAATTTGAATGAATAGATAGGTATGGAAGACATATTAATTCACTTTGCAGCAGAAATTATATCAGAAAGGTTTGAGTATGTCAATGGTTGTGATAAACGATTTTGTAATTACGCGGTAGTGCTAATGTTTCGATCTGTTTTAAGTGACGACATAATTTGACCTTTAGCGCGTTCACATGTTCACACCTATGTACATGGGGACCTGTCTGACTGGTCTAGTTTGCAGGAACACAGCATCGTCAGTCGTAATGGAAAACAGGACGTCTGGACTTGAAGACTATACAGAGACCACAGTCCAACCTGTACTGTATCTGTTCCAGCCAGAGACAGATCCAGGCTCGGCCGAAGACGTAATGGCACTGCGTTTCAGTGTCAAATAAGAGTCTGCTTATACACTCTAGGACTAGTGAATCATGAGAATCACTAATCACACCGACGATTGACATGATGACATTTCTCCAGGAAACAAAAGCATTTTAACTGTTAGCAACATCAAAATGCAAGTATCTATTAAACCATATCTCCATGATTAAACTTACAACCACACAAAGGCAAGTCCGAGCTAATATTCCCAAAGAGCATACCACCTTTACATCCCTACGATAACTCATTTCGTTAGAATACTAAAGGAATACTATTGACAATAGAACGTCCATTGTTATTCATTTCCCCTAATTTACGGCATGAAGCCTATGTTACAGCAAATTACTAAATATGGAATTGCCTCTAAAAAAACACCCTCACCAGAATGCTACTATTTACCGCATACATTCAAAGTGGTCTGATCATTTAAACTCAAATAACGACACATTGCATTGCTGTGTTTTACTTCGTCAATAATTATAGATAATAGTGATGTTTTGTTGAGTGTGAATCTCTGGTAGGGTGTATTGAAGGTGCTCCCCTGAGTATCCGCATGACTAGTTACCATAAATGCACGGTTACCGTCAATTAAACAGAAAACGGGGCATAACCATGAAGAGAAGCTGGACTTCCGAAAAGGGGACATGTGATTGATGAGCTTTGTCAATCGTTTTATTATGTCAGTTTTGCAGGATGACATGGAATAAATAGATTTTTCCTTGATCGCCCTCATATTCAAAATATGACGACAAATAGCTAAAAAAGATAAAAAATACAAACGTGGAATAACGATTCAGAAGAATGTTGGGCGTTGGTAAAGTACGAGCTTTCAAAATATCTATCTGTCGGTTTGAAAGAATATGATATAAAAGATATTCTAAAAAATGAGCGTTCATTGAAGGATCTCAAATTGATTACCAATGGCTAAACATGTTTGGAAGAAACAGTCATGCCTCGTGTAACTGTAGTCCCATATACAGATTATTGTGTAAAGTAAATTTGACTTTTAAGATACACCAAGGCTTGTGTTCTGCACAACCGACCTTCCCAGAATCATTTCGTTCACAATGTCTTCGCTTTTTTCACTTTTTATCTTTAACACCAAAGAGCATAGACACGGAAACGGAGGCACGTTCTAAAAGAGAATGCGAAAAGAATGTGACCATGAATTAATGTTCCAATCCCGGCAGGGCCGATCGATATATTTCGGCCACAACCGAATATACTGTACTTTACCCAGCGGCGAGTTCAACTCGTTGAACATTGCAAATCACTTCATTTGATTAAGAATCAAGATCTCTGTAATTAATACATGTTGGCACCCGATCTGGAGGTTTTCCAACGATGACCTTACATCTACCGATCAAACAAATGCTCTTGGCTTTATTCCAGTGAGTTAGGGTTACATTTGGGTTTTAGTTTAGGTTTAGGGTTATGTTTTTAGCGTTAGGTATTCCGTTTCTCCGTTTTTTTTTTTTGGTTGACGTTAGCGACTCGGTCAGCGTACCGCGTTGACTCCGAGCATTACCATCTTCTTCTTTTTCTTCTTCTTCATCTTCTTCTTCTTCTTCTTCTTCTTCTTCTTCTTCTTCTTCTCCTTCTTCTTCTTCTTCTTCTTCTTCTCCTCCTTCTTCATCTTCTTCATCTTCTTCTTCTTCTTCTTCTTCTTCTTCTTCTTCTTCTTCTTCTTCTTCTTCGTCGTCGTCGTCATCTTCTTCGTCTTCTCCTCCCCCTTCTTCTCATGATTCTTCTTCTTCTTGTTTTTTTTAATGATATAAAATATACCTCTTTCCATGTTTGTCATTGTTTGTTACTACCGAAAATTGATCGTGACTACACAAACAAAGACCATTATATATCAAATGTAATTAATTCCGTCAACAACAAAAAATCGTTACCTTTATGTGACGAACTCTGTCATGCGTTCTCTAATTCAAACTAAACCATATAGGGTCATATACTGACAAAACGGTCGGTTGTCCTTATTTGGGAATTCCTAATGCAGTCGTCATTCTCTCGGAGAAAGTCACATGCGGAAACAGATCGCGTAATAAGGGCTGAATGAAAGTGTCACAATACTGTGCGGCAATTGAATAATGAAATAAGTCTCTCAACTAGCGAAATCACCTCTCTTTTGTTGAATGTAGGTCCGTTAAGATCGGGCAATGTCGTTCACTTGCGATAGAGTGCCCAGTGGCTTAATAATGAATGAAAGAACGGCCTTTAGTAACTTTAGACAAGAATGTGATAATGAGCGTTCGATCAATTAGTATCATCTAATTCAAACAGCGGGCACGTGCAGCGCTGATCACATGACACTACGAAGGCTTCTAGCAACTCACATCCGCCGTGTCATTCCACAAATGAATAAGCATTGGCTAATTCGTATTGCTATATCCGAACTCCCGCGATCAACGCTAGGCGAATTGATATTTAAAGGTAAACGCACACCTGTTTAGACAAATGTATAACAATGTGAATGTATTTATGTACATTATTTGACTGTCAAGTGGATTTGGCGCCTTATAAATCTTATGTATTATTATTATTATATAGTTATGACTAAACACCTTTCCATGGTAATTATCAAATGACAACGTTGTCAGTTGAATGTCTACCCACGTATTCTTTAAAACGAAAATGCAAACAAGCTAACAAACCGCAAATAATAAAAACAAAAATAATAATAATGATAATAACAGTAATTACAGGCGCACGCCACAACGTCCCGCTGGGAGGGGATTGTCAAATATGGATCAACGTATGCCTTGCCAAAATAAGTTAGTACCATGTGAGGGTTTGAACCTTCAACCCCAAGATTGAGAGTCAACTGAATAAACCACTATACCACGACACCTCAACAAAACATATAATGTACTAGAAACAAGAAAGAAAATACAAATAAGGGGGATTTATGGTGACTTTCTTTGATACTTCGTCAATAGTTAAAATGACGAATAGAACGACTATTTACGTTTTATCCTTAGTATTCTAGCGTCACCTTAAAACAACTACATGTATGTATGCGGAAAACATTTTTATTCATCATCACAAAACAATTATGAACGAAGCTCGTCGAAGCCTACTGTTTTACACTAACTTCTTCCTGCCTACTTTGGCAGATTCCTTATTTACTTTTTCGAAATAGCTTGATAAAGACACCAATTATGAAATAGTATCCGGATTTCATTAATAAATCTCAAAAATCTGGATTTCATTCCCAATAAGTAGATTTTGTTCTCACATAAGAGGGACAATCCTATTTGCATATAAATAGGAAATTAAATTACACCCTGACCTATGATATCTTCTTACGTGAAGTGGGCGGGAAGGGGGGGGGGGGGGTCACCTAACAAAAAATGACCTAAAAGCCACACTTGGTACTTTTGATCTCCACCCCCCTCCCCCTCCTTATCTTTGCACGTACAAAAAGTTACCGTAATTCTGTAATTCTACAAAGAGGCGACGGGTCATAAATTGCCACTACTACATTTCGTGAAGCTGGTCTCCCCAAATCTAATTAATGCGTTTACCCATTATCTGCTGGAACCTGGTGACTCCTGTATAAAAGCCAATGGATATGAGAGAATTCAGCAGTCATCGGGTTAATAATGCCAATATACCTATTCGTTTAATATGGTAAAGTCAAAGTCTCAACATAAGTCAATACGTTGAAAAAGAGGTTAGAACTGCAGAGTAATGTAATGCCATTTATCCGTTTGAAGTCTTCGAGTTTTTTGTATTAAATTACACACCATTCCAACTCGATACAATGGTTTAGTGATTGCAATCGAAACATGCTTTATACAAACACTTTATCTCCATGCTTCATACTGCAGAAAACCTTCTTATAATGGAAATGCTTGTTCTTCAATGAATTTTTTTTCTAAAAAAAAATGTTTTCCAGGATTTCGCTGCCATTATCCCCAAATTTGTAATTATGGTCGCTACGACCTTTAAGCAGTGATTTTCCACGTGCATGCTTTTAGCACGCCTGCAGTTGAATACACACATATTCACACATATCTGGCGTCGCAAATTCCTTTGTGGCATCTATCATATAGCCGGAAAGTCGTCCGTTGCTTTCGTTTTCATTTCATTGTAGTGGTGAAAGGATTTTTCCTATAATTAATCGATATGCCGCTTATGTATTCCTATCTTTTGGTTTCTGTTACTGAAGGAATGGTTCTTATTGAGTTGTATGTCCATGACGATTGTGAAATATAAATGGAAAGACTTATTCAACCTTTCAAAGCTTGGTCATTAAAGCCCCCCCCCCCGTCCATTACGCTAACAATGTACATGATTATATCATTACGATGATATCTCCTTGTAGGCTAAGTGGAATGTATTTTGCTATTTAACCCGTTTCTAGAAATCAAAGATATTTATCAATACCGGTTGTGTGTAATGGCGAATATAGACTGCAGTTCCAAAATATGCTGCATGTGCATTGAGATGACGATGAGAACTATATTCGTTACAAAAAGAAAACAGCAAAGACTGAAGTCTCGTGGCCACTTTGTAAACTCGTGCCTTTCTATATTTTTACATGAATTTATCTTTCTGTTGTCTGTCTCGCAGAATGACGGTCTCGTGTACCTTTGGAAACTTTCTACCTGTCTTCATTTTCATATGCATATCTTTATATTGTCGGGTCCGTGATCTTTCGGCATCGTTAGTAGTCAGTCTTACGGTCCTTTGAAACTGACTACCTTTCAATATCTTCTTCTTATATATAAATATATACATATTCCTAGACCATTTTCTTCACGCATATATTATATACATATATATATACATATATATATATATATATATATATATAAAGCAAGTTTGGTGAAACTGCAATTTCTGACAGGGCTCAACTGTAGGAGCAAATGTAAACCACTTAAACCACTTAATTCCACTATTGTATTATTGCGTTCACCCTGACTTGGGTACTATTTGTGTCTCTTTTGCATTCTTGCCTGACTGCACATGAGTGTTTTTAACTTCGCCATGATTGTATTATGTATTTAGTTACTGATGAGCCTTCTGGCGAAACAGTCTGTATAACTCGTACCAATAAAGTGTAACCTTCCAACTCCTATATCTACATAATATGTATACATGCTTTGTCGGTCTAATGGGCTGATGTTCTCGTGGACCTATAGAACTGGCTACCTAATTCTGTTATATATATCTTGTCTCGTTTCGGTCTCGTAAGCTGATAGACTCGTGGGCTGTGTTTGTCTCGTGGACATATTGGAACTTCCTAACTTTCTATATTTTATTGTGTGTTTCTGTGGTCTGTCGGTAGCGTGGGATGATCCCGCGTGACACCGTGGGGTGTAAATATGTGAATCATACCGCCACAGACATGTTACACCCTAATCCATTCATGCAAACAGTTGTATTCGCCGAAAAATCCTTTACACGATACGAAAATAAGAAAATCGCGTACGTGAGACCAACGGTGATGTCACCTAGCACTGCCTTCGAGTGGCAGGCTCAAAATATTTCCATGGATAGATTCCTATGATACATTTGAGATGTCTCTTCCTTCTTAAATCATTTCAATTTCATCACATCATAGTGAACGTTCTTAAGAGGTATTTACAAACTCTCAAACTTGAGAGGTGTTTTTCAAAATATGTTAGCATCGTCATTTCAGTGGAAGATGAAAAGGCCAAGCCAGAATAATCGTCATATTCCCCCTGTCATATCGCCAATCCTGTTTACATGGTCTAAACACTCAACGGCGTTATCGGAGGTGCACTGCATGACACCTTTTGGTAGTAGAGCCGGTATTTACGAAGGTAAGTGGTTAGTGAAGTACCCGGTACTCCGGCGGGACAAGGGCCTTAGACAACACTCCAGAAGCGCCACTCCAAAAAGACAGTTTCATATTTACTGACAACGAACGTACACTTAAAGGAACGATTTAACATTTTTGTCAGGGTAGTGAAGGTAGTTGAAATGTCTATTAAAATCTCCATGAAATAACGGCAAATGCTTTAAAGCGGTAGAACAATACCGCTGGTTGTTAATGAGAGGTAGTAATTAGCACCGAATTTATATCAAGTTTTAAGTTTCATTTGTTCCACATTTTACAAGAATTTAGACATACATATACAATAAACATTATACAATACATGTAGGACAAATGAGCACGTCTCAATGATTCTCAATTGATATAAGAGATATAGTTGATATAATGTAAGTTCGTGTGTGAGTTTTGTAGTGATAAACACATATAATCCATCACAACTCCTAGTTCTATCTTTAGATATAAAGCCGAGTTTATATTTGTATAGATAGGTAACGCCAACCAGATAACCTTATACAGTGAAAGTACTATTCGAGTGACTCTTAATATTAGATCAATTCATCACTTATTTCATATCTTTTGATATTTGATCATCTCGTTGCTTTATTGTGGACGATATAAGAAGCGAAAATATATATCTTGAAATGTCTTTCAAACTACTAAAACATGATTTACATAGCCTTCCCCAGTCGTAAAAAAATAGGAAAAAAATAGGGGAAAAATAGGGGAAAAATAGTCCCGAAAATATATTTTTTTTCTATTTTTTCCCTATTTTTTTTAAAGGAAAAAATAGGGAAAAAATAGTTTTGGAAATAGGAAAAAAATAGGTTTGAAACAATTTTTTCTATTTTTTTCCTATTTTTTTCCTATTTTTCAGACCTGAAAATAGGAAAAAAATAGGGAAAAAATAGTGTAGAAAATGGTGAAGAAAATAGTAAAAAAATAGTGATAACTAGGTGCTAGTGGACAGTGAAAAATAGTGAGGAAATAGGAAAAAAATAGTGAGGAAATAGGAAAAAAATAGTAAGAAAATAGGAAAAAAATAGTAAGAAAATAGGGGAAAATAGGAAAAAAATAGTAAGGAAATAGGAAAAAAAATAGTAAGAAAATAGGAAAAAAATAGTAAGAAAATAGGGAAAAATAGTAAGAAAATAGGAAAAAAATAGTAAGAAAATAGGAAAAAAATAGTAAGAAAATAGGGGAAAATAGTAAGAAAATAGGAAAAAAAATAGTTAGGAAATAGGAAAACAAATAGTAAGAAAATAGGAAAAAAATAGTAAGAAAATAGGGAAAAATAGTAAGAAAATAGGAAAAAAATAGTAAGGAAATATGAAAAAAATAGTAAATAAGTGAGGAAATCAGAAAAAAATAGTCAGGAAATAGGGGGGGGGGGATCACTCATCCTTTACTTTCATGGATTTCTCAAGCACTACCATCTCACACATCCAGTCAACGACTCTGTACATTCAATTAAATCATACAGTGCAAACTTGATATAAAGAGATCAGTTATACCTGACAAGGTAATTTAACAGGTTTTGGGGGTTAAGATTTCTTGGTTGCACATGACCTCAATGTCAAAAGTTTCCACTGTAGAATAGTCACCCTACTCCTACAGCTCTTTTCTCTGCATCAATGCACCTACTCAGTTTGCCAAATTCACTTCATCCTTTCAGTCCAATCCATTCAGTAGAACATTTAAAATAGTCAATGGGTATATGGAAAATGTTATACAGTCCACTCCTATTATAACGAACATGGATACACCAAGATTTTATTATCAGGCAATTCTCATCAGTCCCAATTTTAAACAAACCAATGTGTTCAGTAACTTGAGTATAACATGATTTCATTTTAACAAGGAAATTGGCTTGGTCCCGAGCACCTCGTTATAATGGCAGTGGACTGTAACAAACAAAAATAATAAAAGGGAATATGTGTCAAATAAAATACATGTACTTTATTTTCGAGAGGTAAACACAATGACATGAGTTTAGTATAGTATGTGTGTTCATATAAGCAAATAAATAAAAGAACTTAACTGATATTTACAATCTTTGGTTAAGTACTGTAGTGTACATGTTGTAGTAATAGAGTTGTTCATGGTTTGCTATGATTATACTCTAAAAAAAAAACAAGACAAATGCGACTGCGTCTCCTATATGCCTCCGCCTTAAAAAAATATCATCCATCTAGAATGTAGCTTTCTATTTTTGTTCAAATAAAGTATTCAGGTGAGTTTCAGGACTATTACTGAGCCGATGTGGATATGCCAGGCGATCACAAGCTCTCTCCCTCACTAGTAACCAAATAAAGCAGTATTCTGGACATGAGAGTGTTGTTTCCTGTCTCTTTTATTACAATTTAATTACAAAGTGCTCTTAATAATGTAATCACATTTTCAAACCTCAAGAAAATCATGACAAATAATTTTTTTTCTCGTTATTTACAAAGATAACAAAATAAAATAAATCATAAAACAGATTTTTCAACAATGCATGCATGCTCTATAGTACAGTTGACATGTTACATAATTTTCTCAATCTCAATTGAACTGTCAAAATCTTAATACAATCATCATAATCTAGAAACACTACAAAATCAATGACATGTCATGTCATTGAGATATATATAAACAAGAAAATGACAGACTTACATGCTACTATTTTCAAATACTTTTACAAAGTATAGGCCTACCATCATTACCATGTATCATAAGTAATGGTCTTATGGTCCTTTATCTTCACAATATGCAGGCACTCATTGTGTACACATACATGTTGTACTTGCCTATGAATCTCAATGATTAGACATAAGAATTACATAATAAAAAGGAAACAAATACTAATGTAAAGGATACAGATGTTGGTCATGCCGTTCACAGGCATCGAATGGTGGTTGTACGTTACATGTACATTGTAGCTTGATTAGTTTCAATGGATCTGTAAAGATATAAATGAAATGTGAGTTAGGGGTTAGAATAATCATGCATTGGTACATTTATGAACATGCAATTAATACTTAGTACAAGTATTTATGTATTTCATAATGAAAAATTCAAAGGCACAGAACATGTGTGTACAAAAGTATGATAGCAAAAAAGATGCCAGGCTGACGACGAACGGATGGTGAAACAACGGAGTCGTCAAAGAGCTGTCAAGGTGCATGAAATGTAAACCACTCAGGTAGGCAATTAATTAGAGTTATTTTATTCTTAGATATATTGGGTGAACATACATAAAATAAAACATAAAACACAGAAAAGAAAATAGTAAAGGAACAATTTGTTGAAGAAAAAAATAAAAAGGAAAGAGAAAAATAATGTAGATCTAGGTAGAAATTGTGCCACCTGCAAATTATTGTTCTAGCATAATGATGAGGTAAACTACTCTAATATTTTGATGTCAGATCTTAACTAACAAACATGAAATAAATAAACCCCAAAAAATTATCAACAATAGATTTAGATTTCTACTTAGTAAGGACATACCTCGCAGACACATGCACTCTCGGACTTGGAAGACTTGCTCTTCTTCTTGCGTGGTGCTTTAGCAGGTTGTGTTTTCCGATTCCTAGAAAAATAATTTGAGATACAATTTAGCCTAAAACCACATCAAAACATTTTATCATGCAAGGCAATATAATTGACAGACGTAGTAATGGTACAAAATCTGAAATTTCTACGTGGATTTATTGTAATCACGTTTGTTTACATTCACTCATTTACTAACAGACACACTTCACTCAAAAGTTTTGTAGTCTAAGTTACAACCTCAACACTACATGGGAATATTGATACGTAAAATAACATTCTATAGGCCTACTATGTCTATGAAGTAGCATTATATTCAACAACAGACACAATAAAAATATATATATCATAATATAATTAAGTTTCAGAAATAAACGTACCTTTTCAGCTGTTTTCTGGGGCCATGTTCCGCTCGTCGATGTTCCGTCATTCGACAACAAACTCATTTCTCTACGAGTGGGACTAGTAATATTTTGAACATTTGTCGGGCTCATTTTCTTGGGAAGAATCACTAAAATGGGATAAGGAGGCATCGGAGTATGAGGAGTCACTATCTCTTGATGAAATTTCATCGCTAGAATAATTGCTGGAAGACATTTCGGTGTGATTTGGAGACGTTTGATGAACGAAAATCAGCAAAAGTCCGATGCGCACAGCAGTACGTGCCAGTGGGGAAAACAAATAACGGGTAATTTTCAAATTACGTACTTGCGTACTGTCCTCTACGTTGAAACTTTGCACACACATAGAACGGGAATATCTCGATCGAATGCTTTTTTTTTCTATTAATAAAGGAGATTTTTTTTGGTTGAAATTTCTATGTGTATATTTTCTTTTTACACATGGTTTATGTATGGTTATCTTTGAGTGCACTAGTCACTACTATAGTTTGTAAATAAAATCAAGAATATTAATAAAGGAACAAAATTGAAATTTCGTACATTTTCTTTTTACACATTGTTTATTTATGGCCATCTTTGAGCTCACTATTCAATATGTGACCCCACAGCTAAAAACCACCAATAAGTCGCAAAATGAACAACAGAGATAATGGCAGGAGAAGCGGGCTTTTTGAATAGGATGCCAGTCATAAACAATGAAAATATGCAAGTTTAGAAAATAGACAAAAAATAGTTTACAAATTTGTATCATGTCATAAAAAATTTAAGTGCAAAAAATAGGAAGAAAATAGTACTCGCAAATAGGTAAAAAGAAGTCTGAAAAAGATAAAGGTGAAAAAATAGGGAAAAAATTGTCTGAAAAAGATTAAGGTGAAAAAATAGGGAAAAAATAGTCTGAAAAAGATTAAGATGAAAAAATAGGGAAAAAATAGTCCTATTTTTTTCATATTTTTCTGGAGAAAATAGGCAAAAAATAGTCTGAAAAAGATGAAGGTTCCTATTTTCTTTAAAAAAATAGGAATAAAATAGTCCACAAAAGTTGAAGGTAAAAAAAATGGGGGAAAAATTGTTTGTGCTTGAAAATAGGAAAAAAATAGGACTATTTTTTTCCTGTTTTCTTATAGGAAATAGGAAAAAAATAGTCTGAAAAAAAATATAGGTGAAAAAAATAGGGAAAAAATAGTTTGTACTAGAAAATAGGAAAAAAATAGGACTATTTTTTTCCTGTTTTTTTATAGGAAATAGGAAAAAAATAGTCTGAAAAAAAATATAGGTGAAAAAAATAGGGAAAAAATAGTTTGTACTTGAAAATAGGAAAAAAATAGCCCTATTTTTTTCCTATTTTCTTGAAGGAAATAGGGAAAAAATAGTCTGCATTTCCAGAAAATAGGGAAAAAATAGGAAAAAAATAGGGAAAAAATATATTTTCGCAACACACAAAACTACTAGGGTTTATTTACCAGGAAGTCCTCGATTTATGTTTCAAGAAATTATGTATACTATTCAAGCTTATAGACTAAGGAAAATACTTGTTGTATTTGATTTTATTTGATTTTATTTTATTTATTCATCATCAATAACATCAGTGATTAAACATTTGAATACATCGTGAATGGTACATGTTCATAAATGAATATTATAGATCATATTAAAGAAAAACCTAACAAAGTATTGATATGCTAGACATATGTCTTTTCTCATAGAATATAGAAGGTGATGAAAAGGAGCCAAATAATAGCACATATGCTAGTCGAGTCTGGCCCCTGTTCTTAGCACACACTTGGCAAAAATAAATATATCATTATCAAAAAATAAAACTTGACAGTAGAAGTATACATGTTGAGTAATACCGTAGCACAATTTCTACACTCCAAATATAATTATGAAGAGGATATACCAGGTTAAAAAGTCATAGATACATGTATCTACAGATTATTTATACAAAAAATTGCATTTTTTTGACAAAAAAAACAAAAACAAAAATGTAATATGGAGATTATTTACAATATATACATGTGTACTTGCATAATTCAATCACTTATTCATCAAGTAATCGTTGAGATGTTTACGAAAAGTGTTTCTAGACCCTTTGTTTTTGATTTCATCGGGAAGTTCATTCCATAATCGGGTTCCTACACAAGTTACTGAAAATTTGCCTTGTGTTGTTTTATACAGTGGTATACGTAGATGGCCCTTTTCTCTTTTTCTTGTATTGTATCTATGCTCAATTTTATCACAATAATCCGTCAAACAGTGAGGTAAATTATTATGTACTAGGTCATACATAAATGTACATAGAGACAACTCATAGAACTTGTTAATATCTAAGATTTTCAATTCGTAAAACAATGGTGCTGAACGACTCATAAAATGGCTAAATGTGATTGTCCGTATGGCCATCTTCTGTGTATACAGTATGCAATTTAAGTGAGACTTGTAAGTGCTCCCCCACACTTCAATTCCGTATGATATATGAGGTTGAATAAAGGTTTTATACAACAACACTAGGATATTTCTAGGCACAAAATGCCGTAAGCGGAAGAGGATTCCTACTTTTTGTCTGATGCATTTATTAACCATTTGTATGTGGGGTTTCCAAGTCAAGTGTTTATCAATCTTTATCCCAACAAAGAGCGAAGAATCAACTTCTATTATTTCAGCTTCTGATATAGCCAGTTGCCCTTGAACATTAATCTGCCGTCTCTGGTTTCTTATTAGCATATAACTCGTCTTTTGTAAATTAATTGTCAGTTTATTAGCATTACACCAGTCTGAAACAATTTGAAGATTTGTGTTCACTTCAGTCATATCAATTTCTTTTTGCCCTTCAGGAAATGTATTGAATAAGTTTGAGTCATCCGCAAAGAGTCGAAAGTTAAAGTAACGTGTAGCAAATGGCATATCATTAATATAAAGTAGGAAAAGCGTTGGGCCTAGGACAGAGCCTTGCGGTACACCACATGTTAAAGGCAGCATGGGAGATGTTACATTTCCGTACTGTACAAATTGAAATCTTCTATAAAAATAGTCCTTAAACCACTGTAATGCTATTCCTCGTATTCCATAGTGTGAAAGTTTGCTGTATAAAATATCATGATTAATTGTATCAAATGCTTTCTTAAAGTCTACAAATATCCCAAGTGTGATTCTTCCCTCATCCATTGAATTCCTCAAAGTGTTAACTAAATTTATCATTGACAATTTTGTACTGTATTTTTTACGGAAGCCATACTGGTGCTCATATAATACATGATTTTTTTCAAGAAAGTCAAGAAGCCTATTATTTACAATTTTTTCAAAAACCTTCCCAAGAACAGGTAATACTGAAATAGGTCTATAATTTCCTGCTTCATCTTTAGGTCCTTTCTTATAAACAGGTGTCACTTTTGCTATTTTAAAGGCATCTGGGAATTTACCAGAGGTGAAAGACAGATTGAAAATAAATGTAAGGGGAGAAGTTACATAGTGCACAGCATCTTTTATCAGCTTGATTGGCATATTATCATACCCACTAGCTTTCTTTACATTCAAGGCTATTAAATGGTTGTTAACCTCAGTCTCAGTAACTGGTTTCCAGAAGAAAGATTTGTCTACACCATCGTCTAAAACTTTCTCTGTATTACGATTTGTGTTTGGTATGGCATTCGCCAAATTTGGACCAACATTAACAAAGAAGTCATTAAATGCATTTGCAATATCTTGTTCATTACACAGGGTTTCATTAGTACCAGTATCATTCACACACAATTTATCCACCACTGTTGGCTTAAACGAATTGTTTCCACCACTTAAAATCTCGTTTACAGTCTTCCATGTTTTGCTAGTATCACCCTTATTTTCAAGGAATATCCTACTATAGTAATTTCTCTTTGAGTTTCTGATTATTGTAGTTAACATATTCCTGTACTTCTTGTATGTTGTTAAATAGACAGGATTGTGGTTGGTGGCAAGAACCTGTGAATACATTGTATGTTTCTTTTTTATGGAATTCATTATAGCTTTTGTAATCCAAGGTTTCTTAGGTTCGTTCTTTCTCCTTTTACCGTGTTGAGCTACAACTGGTGCATGCTCATCACACACTTTTGTCATGATTTCACAAAAACGGGAGTATGCGAGATCAGCATCATCCGCTGCATAAACTGATTCCCATGTTATATTGGCAAGCTCAGCATGGAATTTTGTAACATCATAGTTCTTGTAAGAACGAGACATTAATTTTCCTCGGCAAGACTTTTTCTTAAATTGTATATTAGACTTAAAAATGGTAAAGATCGGAAAGTGGTCTGTAACGTCAGATTCAATTATTCCTGCATGAATACTGGGAACATTCATATTGGTATATATATGATCAATCAAAGAGAAGCCATGTTGCGTTACTCTAGTAGGAAAATTAATCAATTGATGCATGCCGATACATTGCATGGAGGTGAGAAAGTTATCAGCTGCCATTTCATCGCCTAGAAGATTGATATTGAAGTCTCCAGTTAGCACACATTGACTTTTGTCTAATTTCAGATCATGTACAATACTTAACAGACTATCCTGAAACTCATGAATATCTGTATTTGGCTTGCGATAGATGACACCAATAATGATATTCTTTTCATTAATTACTACTTCCAACCAAAGTGATTCAGCATGTGCTACTTCCAAATTTCCCAAAAGCCTGTATTTAAGGGAAGAGTGAATGTATGCACCAACACCTCCACCTCTCAAAGTATGATTGCGGCATTTCACCTCTAAAGTATAGCCTTGTATGCCCAAGATGGATGTGTCTGGTACGCTCCACACTTCAGATAAACATATTATATCAAATTTTGATTTGATACTACATTCGTATAACAGTTTTAGGTTTTCTATATTTCTATTCAAAGATCTGATATTGACATGTGTAAGAGAAAATGCATTTTCAGTTTTGGTTTGCAGAACATCATCAAAATTAACAGGAGTTAATTTGTGTGAACTAAGACACAGATTGAGTTCATTGTCCTCCATTTTAAAGTCATTTTTCTATTAATGACTTAAAATTACTCAGATAAAAAGAAAATCAAGCAATGACAAATAGCTTGAAGCGAGCGTAATCCATATCATCAAGTCCAAGATCAAAAAGGTCATCAGGGTTGCGAATTGTTTTATTTGTTGTATTGATATTAACCAAAATCATATCATGAATTATGAAATCCGTCGGTAGATTAGACACATTGTGCATGTCATGCTCAGTTTCTATC